TATTTCTCTGGGGAAAAAAATCATATTTGGCTGAAATGTATTTTTAAATGTTTGCAAAAATACACTTTCGAGGTATTTTGATACTTGCATGGTATTCAGGTGAACACTTTATATATGCCAAAATATCACTTATTCTCATTTGCATGTACCTTCACAGCGCACTGGTCATCGCAACTGTATTTGACAGGAACATCACCTGCAGGAAGGCCGCCTCTGTGAGTTAATCCTGAAAAACATTTTAAAAAACTCTTTAAAGCTGAAGTGTGTAAAAATGTGTGAATTGGTTACAAACTGTCAGTACAAATGCTCCTGCCTTTCATTAGTCAGAATAGAAGGTAGTCCAACCCTAAACTGCCTGCATCGGTTGAGTCAGTGTAACACCAGTTTCACACCACAAGTGCACAGCAAATAAGAGTGCTCACATTGGAAGTGTGAGCTGCGTCCCGTTTCTGATGTGAGCACTCATGGGTGCCAGATAAAAATGTGATTCAAACGCACCATTGATGGCAGCAAAATTTGCTTTTCTTTATAGTTGTCTAGGAGTAGAGGACTAGAGGTTGTGCTACAAATATTAATTTTCTGTCATTTCAATAGACTGGGTTGTACAAGTTCTGACATGCTCTGATTTTATTCATCTGTAGAATATTTAAATGATCTTTTTTATGTGATATTGATATCACAAGAAGCATTTTGAAGCATTTTTTCTTGTTTGAGTGTCTGTTGACACTAAGTGCAAATAGCCCATCTTGTTAGCAGTAACTCTGCCCACGCTTCGCTCACATTGATTGGATGGACTGACACATCGACGACGGCGACACACACATTTTATATTGTTACTACTCTATTACTGTAAAAGAGTGGAAAGTTGTCCTTCAAGGTCCAGGAAGGAAGTGACGTAACTTTACTGATCGGCAGATTCAAAATGGTGTTGGGTTCCCAAAAAGACAGTATTAATTAACCTTACATTTAATACTTTAATGGATATATACACTTAATGTGTTTTTATTAGTGCAAATATCAGCTAACTGCTATTTATACTTAATGCAAAGAAAATAATGCTTCTTTCACTTAGTGTAAATAGCATCTATCGCTATTTGCTCTTAGTGCACATAGCCCCTACCTTCTGTTTATTTGGTTAATTATTTTATTTGAATACACTTGGAAACTCTTGTTCTTCTCCCCAATGCTTACTTAGGTCTAAGCACTTGAAAACATTATTTTTGCCCTTTTTTCACTTCCAATACGCATTTACTTTCTTTACTGTGGAAGTGATTCTAAAGTAAGGAGAATCATTAGCTTTTGGAAGTAATATCTTTCAAATTTGGTTGATGGAAAATGTTTGTGCAGTGCAACCTCTGGATAGGAGAGAGTATTTTAACAGAAAAAAATGACATTCTTCAGCTTTAATTTCACATAATGTAGCTGCATACATGAGAAATTACAGGAAAAGTAATGTTTGCTTCCTTTTCTCTGTTTCTAGGCTGCTTTCCAAGAGAATGTGGGCAGACAGGTACAACAAAAGGGCATACACTTACATAAACACCATTCAGATCCATTATAAACACCTGCACTGATCTGTAGTGCAACAGGCCGTGTTCTGTGAAGCCTGCTGAGTGTGTGTCTCTCTAATCTGATCCTCGGAGATATCCTGTCTCCACAGGGCACCTTCCCCCATGGCATAGACATTGTGACAGCGGCGGACTACTTCACAGTCGGTAACCTGAATAACTGCTACTTAACTATCAGGTAAGGAGTAAGAAGGTGACAGTGTGTGACTAAGAACTGTTTTGGCACATTTAATTGAACCCCATTGTTCTTCATAGTACACGCTGCAAACATTACAGCAGCAGGCAGATCAGTCATACACCCCATTCCTCAGAACACTTCAGTTCAAAGCACAGTCACGCTATGTTTTGAATGCATCGATGAGTGAAGGAGCGGCTACGCTGTTATGTCATTCTTGTCATTTTCTTAAGTCCCACCCTCCAGAAAAATGTCACCATTTGATTGTGGCACATTAATGTATTAAAAGAGCAATGTGAAAAATTCTAGCCTTAGGGAGCAAAGAGCCATGCTCAAGGCTTAATGCGCAGCCCGCTGTGTAAAAGCAAGAAGATGTTGCTTTCGCTTGTTAAAGAATTGGTCCACCCAACAATGAACATTTCTTGAAAATTACTCACCCTCAGGAGTTTGTTTCATCATCGAAACAGATTTGGAGAAATTTTGCATTACATCACTTGCTCACCAATGAATGCAGTGAATGGGTGCCGTCAGAATGAGAGTCCAAACAGCTGATAAAAACATCACAAAAAACCATAAGTAATCCACCACTCCAGGCAATCAATTAATGTATTGTGAAGCAAAAAGCTCTGTGTCTGTAAGAAACAAATTCATCTTTAAGACATTTTCAGGTTTGTTTTCAATCAGGCTGAGACCAACTCATTCAGGCGATCTTGGACTGATTATTTTTTGGTGTAGATCTGAGCATGTCTGGCATGTTCATATATGCCTAAACAAACAAAACTAAGGGGAAAAAACGTGCCAGGTTCAGAAGCAAACCAAAAAACACAAAAAAATCAGCCTCTTGAATTCTAACAGAGATGGTGGAAAATGGCTGTGTGAGACTTAATTTCCGACTCAATTTAAATTTTTCAGTGTCTACATCGCTGGTTTTGAGGAATACACCAAACCCTTAATTGACCACTTGGTGGCTATGAAAGTCAATCACTGGGATGGGTAAGTATGTGTACGGTTTCATGTGGATTCTTTGGTTTTGTATTTTTAACTGAGGCTGTATTTGCTTTTTATCAGGGTGATCAGAGAGCTGGCCACGAAAGGCCTGCACAATCTAACTATCCAGGCCCCTGAATACATGGCCAACACTGGTGAGAACAGCTCCATATGTCTGTTAATATATGCCAAATTCAACTCGTCAGCACATCTCTTTCACCTCTACACATAAAGGCCAAGTGAAATTTTGTAGCATCTTGTCTAGGGCTGCACGATAAATCGCATGCGATATTTAACGCGCATTTTATCAGTAAAGCCGGTTCTGTAATCAGCGGTAAATGTCTTTATTTATGATTTCAGTTGTACCTCAGCTGCTGCCCATGGCCACAGGGATGGATTTACACAGGCGTCACGGCGCTATCCTGGCCTGTGCCGAGATCACTCATGCTCTCTACGAGCTTGCCACCCAGAATAATAGGTTACACCCGCTTTCTATTGAAGCTTCGCCTAACCATAATTTTCTTTTATTTAATGCATTTGTTTCCTTGTAGTTGGGTGACTGACTTCCTGTCCTCTGACACAATTGAAGGCCTTAAAAACATTCATCAAAAGGTCTGCAGAATTAGTCTCTTGTGTTTTTGTTTTTTTTGTGAAATATAAAACAAACAGTTTATTGCAACTGATCCTTCCATATGTGCGTTTATTTCAGCTCTCTGACAGAAAGCAGTACAGGTGAGCACTGGCTTCATAACCTGGCAGTACTTATTTGTCTATAGCTTGTAACTGATGTTTTTTTGTTGTTTTTTTTTAACCCTAGGGGATTTGGTGGAGAGCTAATGAGACCAGCAGGTAAGAAAAAAACAAAATCATTTACAGTTATTCTATAGAATTGATTTGCTGCTTGTGTTGAAATGATAAACTACTATTTAAAGGGGTCATATGATGCGATTTAAATTTTTCCTTTCTCTTTGGAGTGTTACAAGCTCTTGGTGCATTTGTATAATGACATGGGTATGACATAGGTTTTACAAGGAGAAGGTGACTTATGAGGACATTACCCCATGTCCCCATTTTTCAAAACGCTTATAAATCATACAGAGTGAGTTTTTTTGAGAAAGTAAAAATGCACAAAGTTTCCTGTAAGGGGTAGGGTTAGGTGTAGGGTTGGTGTAGGGCAATAGAAAATACGGTTTGTACAGTATAAAAACCATTACGTCTATGGAATGTCCCCACAATTCACAAAAACAAACGTGCGTGTGTGTGTATGTGTGTGTGTTTGTGTGTGTGTGTGTGTGTGACATAAGGCAAGCCTCGTTACTGTTAGAACTCATTCTATGGTAAGAGATTTGAACAAACTTCAAATTGTAGCTTTCTGCTATAGACATAAATAAAACCCCAAATTGTGCAGCTTGATGAGGAGAGGTGTATACCACTTCAATTAAAATTTTGGCCTGCCAGACCGTAAAAAAGGTGCAGAAAATCACTTACAGTGAAGGACCTAAGCCATATGCTGCAGCAACATGCTAAAACCACTCAGGGCTCAGTTTTTCGAAGATCCTCCTAAGAAAGAAGTTAAAAATTTTTCATAAGATAAATTTTAAGAAGTTCGTAAGAATCTTCCAAATATAATTCTTGAGAAATTCTGAAGAATTACTGACTGATTTGTGTAGCTTTCTCAATCATATCTGTTAAAGGTAGGGTAGGTGATTTCGGAGAGTCTAACAATAGCAAGCTAGCTTTTCAAAGAATAAGATCCCACACTCCCTGCAAATCACTCTCCAAAGCCACGCCTCCTCCAAAACACATGAACGCACACAGACAGACCAGAGGCTAACCAGCGATACGATGAGAGACAGTTGAATACAGTGCTGTCAGATTACCTCACATCTAATTCACCTTTGAGAAAATATTACAGTACAAAGCACATAATATTACAATAATAACGCCTTTCATTCTCGCTCGGTCTGTAATAGAGTAATGGAACGCGCTGATGATGTAAAGTATGCAAATACATACGTTGACAGGCAGGCAGGACAGCCTATCGTAATGTTCGGACCGAATAATCTGATTGGTCGAACATTTTATGGTCATATGCCTTCCACAGATGATATAAATACATATAATGTTTAATATTTGAAACAACCCGATAAGTTCATTAAGCGTCTTACCTTTGGGGATTTAAGAAAGTTGGAGGTTATACTAACTGTAATAGGTTATTTCAGATGATTTTTAAGAACATTTTATTAGGAATTCAAGTTTTTTCTTTAGAACAATCTTAAGATAGGAAGATTCTTCTTGGGAATACAAAACATTCTTAGCTTTATTGTAAAGTTTAAAAAATACGAAGAAAATAGCAGTTAAGAAGAATTTTATTCTTAAGAATGTTTCACAAATCTGCCACAGAACTGCATAGCAACACCTTAGGAAAAATTCATTTGGATTCAAAGTGGAAATGTTGCCATTTTAAAAACGAATGATATAAAGTTTAGAGACCTGTTTTGTCCCATGTCTTAAGAATCAGTGGATTAGTATTCAGAAAAAATATGACATTACAGATGTCTCTGAATCATTCACGGTACAAAGCAACAAAACAGAGGCCCAGTTATTGCTTTTTTACACCCTGATCTGGTTTTCCCTTGTCTTTTTTTTCAGTCTGTTGCCTCATTGAAAAGCTCTCTCTCTCCAAGATGCCTTTTAAAGATGACCCAGTTATCAGTGAGTCAACCAAACCTCTTTACATTTGCATGATTTATGATATTGCATGATACATTTGCATGAAAATAAATTACTACTACTACTACTAGTACCACAAATATCTCATGGAGGAGTGATTGTTTGACGGATTTGTGATGCCTGCAGCTGGTTGGCAATGGCTAATAGACGACAGCTTGAAGAACCTTCACCTGTTCTCCAGCGGGGCCAGGCGGGGTATACAGGTACAGTCCACGCCTCAGCACCCAGAACGGCTTTTTACAACTGTACCATCTATGGTTGTTATGAAAATATAATGCGTGTTTTCTGAAGGATGCCGCACTCTCAGCACTGGCAGCGTTGTGTCTGCAGTATTATCAGGTTGAACCAGGGGTAGCCGATGTGGAAATGCAAGGTACAGTAAACGCTGAACAAGCACTTATGGGTGCGTTTTTGGGTGTACACATACTTTTGGCCATTAATTGTTTGTTTACATCCATTTGTTGCCATACAGATCAGCTGGTTAGTCAGTACCTGTTGGCCCTGGAGAGTCCCGAGGTTCTGACGCGCTGTGGCTGCGCTCTCGCCCTGGGCTCACTGCCTCCGTTTATGATCCGTGGCAAACTCCAGAAGGTTCGACCTCATAATGTCTCGTCTGCTCAAGTCTGTGTCTGAACTGTTAGGTTGAGTTTGCGTTCTCAAACTTGTTCCCTAGATCTTGCCTGGGCTCCAGGCCGCCTGTAAGGTTGTGCAGAAAGCGGCAAGTCTAACAGAAGCCAGGAGGGATGCGGCCACAGCCATGTCTCAGTGAGTAACACCTTCTTATGTCTCCTTTGCGCTTGAAGAACCAGTCTGCCAACGCCTGCTCCTTCCTGCAGGACCTGAAATTCATGTCTCCATTCACTGCTTTGTCCCATCTTGCATTGCATGTCCATGTGTCCTGTGCTTTCTTGTGCTTCTCAGGGTGGGTGTAGCTGTAGGAGTTTGTGCACAAGGCAGCCCAGACCGTGTCCTGTGTGAGGGCAACATAAGGCCTGTGTATGAAGCCTTGCTGGGCTGTATGAACGACTACAGCACGGACAGCAGAGGGGACGTCGGGGCCTGGTACGTTCACATGCTTTCTTAGGGGTGCATAGTTGTGTTGCACAATATACAACAATATGCACCAGTGTCAAGTCACCTTTATTTATATAGCGCTTCATACAAAACAGATTGCAGATTGCTTCAGATTAATGAAATAAACATTTTGATGATGATGATAATAATAATTATTATTAATTAAATGCTATTTTACAATACAATAGTGTTACTGTCTGTTTTTTTACTTTTTATAATGTAATATTAAAAATATTTTTATAATGATAATAGTAACTGTTGTTATTATTATTAAAAGCAGTGCTACTACTACTTTTTATATTACAGTACCGTAGTATTACTATAGTAATGCATTTTTTATTAGTTTGTTTCATTTTAGGCCTTAATAAAATAAAAAAATATTTTATTATTATTATTAGTATTGTATAGTAATAATTGAATGGGTTCCATAAAACAACTCTTGGTTCTTGTGTGAGTTTTTCTCTGTGTCCTAATTATGTAATGATAAGTTGAATCTGTTTAAAGTAGCCATTGAATGTGATTAATGATAAAACAATTCAAAACAATTTAGGCAATAAATAAAAAAAAAAAGTAAGCAAAGTTAGTTGAATTCATGTTTTATTTAAGTATTTAATGTATCAAATTATTTGACTAATTATTTGTCATTTAATGTATCAAGTTATTGAAAGCCCTAATATATTCATTTAATTAATTTACCTTTTTAAATTTGGCTTATTTTAAATGTTACTCAGTTTGCACGGAACTTTAATTTAGGCCCAATCCCAATTCTACCCCTTAGCTCTTCCCCTTTCCCCTAGATAGTGCCACAACATATTTTCATGTTTGATCAGGCCGATAACCACCATAGACATTGAGGAGGGCTAGTACCCCCAATAATTAGAAATCGCTAAACCCTTTCCTCAAATATTGCTAATTCGAGAGAGAGAGAGAGATAGAGAGAGAGAGATGAAAGTTGCGTGTATGCGCGTCTGTGTGTTTCTCTTTTTAGAGTTTACTTCAAAAACAGCTATTTTATCCTCACATTACTGGAAAATATAATGTAGTGATTCAGTATTTAAACTGTTATTAATAAAAGTCGTGGGGCAGCATTAACAAGTTTCTTTGCTCCTGGATGTGTGAGCTGCGCGATATCTTGTGTGTGTGTGTGTCAGTAAGCGGCGCGTTAATATCGAACGGTAATTAAAGGCTCTAATGCACACACCAGCACACCAGTATAGGTGTGTGTATTGTAGGAGCTAGATGACGTATGATGACGTGTGACGTATAGTAGTGGTGTCCCAATTCTTAGGGGAATATTTTCACCCCTACCCCTTGACACTCTGTTTCAAGGGACAAGGGGAAGGGGTAGGGGTAGGGGAATTCCTCACATTCCCCACAGGTGCCTCCAGGCACAACAAACCTTCAGCATGATGCTGGAAATGTAAACAATCAACATAATGCCTTCATAACAAACAAAGCATAATCAAATATTTGAAATATTTTGTGTGCTTGTGGTTCTCTGAAAGCAGTTTGACAGTCACGGTGTCGCTCTGACTCTTTGCTCTCGTTCTGTTTCAGGGTGAGGGCGGCTGCAATGACCAGCCTTATGGAGGTGACCCTGCTGGTGGTGGCGTCTGCTCCAGAGCTCCTCTCCTCTGACCTGTAAGACACTGTCAATCTCACTTAAAGTGAGAGTTTACCCAAAAATGAAAACTATGTCCTCATTTACTCACCATAAGTTGTTTTAAACCTATATGAGTTTCTGTCTTCTTTTGAACACAAAAGAAGATATTTTGAAGGATGTGGGTAACCAAACAGTTTCCGGTCCTCATCGACTTCCATAGTATTTTTTTTTTTCACACTATGGAAGTCATTGGCTACCGTCATCTGTTTGGTTACCCACGTTCTTCAAAATATCTTCTTTAGTGTTCAGCAGCTGAAAACAATTCATACAGGTTTGGAACAACTTGAGGGTGAGTAAATGGGGACACAATTTAAATTTTTGGGTGAACTATCCTTTTAAACTTTAGTTGCAGTAGATATAATGCACCATTTAAGACTGCTCACAGTTATTTCTCTTATTTTCTGTAGTGTTCAGCGTATGATGTGTTGCCTGGCCCAGCAGGCTGCAGAGAAGATCGACCGCTACCGAGCCCACGCCGGCACCGTTTTCCTGCATCTGCTTCACAGCACAGACCCCGCAGTACCTCACATCCCCCACCGGGAGGAGCTACTGAGCATCTTCCCTCTGTGAGTGCCACAGGGGTGTAATCATACTCAGGAGTGTGTTAAAGGGGTCATATGATGCGATTTCAAGTTTTCCTTTCTCTTTGGAGTGTTACAAGCTGATTGTGCATAGATAAGATCCCTGAAGTTGCAAAGACTAAAGTCTCAAAACCAAAGAGATATTCTTTATCAAAGTTAAGACTGTGGATCATTTAGCTAACAACACAGTATTAAGAATTAGCGTATGTAAACTTTCGAACGGGGTAATTTTTTATAAATTCAACTATTATTTTCTCTTGTGGACTATATGTAAACGTCTTTTATGTGAAATATCTTATTCAGGTCAGTATTAAATAAAAAAAATAGCATGTATTTTGCATGATCCCTCTTATTTTAGTAAAATAATCAACATTTTGCAGATACTGCAAAGTGTTATGTAAAATTTTGACCACAACTGTACCTACACCTCTCTGCACCTCTAGGTTGCGTGCAACAGATCAAATGCGTCAGGCATTAACTTGGCTTACATTATGTCATTAAATTTGGGAGGTGCACACTTGCATTGAAGTTTCTGGAAAGTACATATTTTTATTTGCACTGCTTACAGTTTAAGCTGTAGTTGAATAAAAGACGCATCCCAAATGCTTCACACATGTTTATCTCTGACCTCTGGTGTTTTAGAGAGACAGGAACCTCCCTGAACTGGAACGCCGCGTCACAGGCCTTCCCTCACATCACGCAGCTGCTGCGGCTGCATCAGTACCAGTACCACACGCTCCTGGGCCTCACTGTGTCTGTGGGTGGCCTCACCGAATCTACAGTAGGTTGCATCACATCAGCACAACCATTAAAGCACAGTTCACCCTCAGTCGCCACTTTTTTCCCTTGAGAGACTTAAAGTGTATTTTGCTATAAACAGAAATGTAACCTTTATAAAGGTTAAAACGGACAGTCTAAAAAACTTTTTTTAGTTACACTTTAGAATAAATTAATAATTTAATAAGTTAAAGTTCATTCTAATTACATTTTAATCAACTGACAGTCCTGTTGTAAACAATAGCAAACAATACTACATCACATAATAAAATAATTAGTTAATAAATAATTAGTAGTTCATTCCAAAGAAAGAAAATGAAAGAAAATTCAGTTTTATTTACAGTAAGTTGGTGAGATTTTAAAAATATTTTACAAAAATATTATTAATTTTTTTTTTAAATAAGTGTTTTCACTTTGAATATATTTTCAAATGTAATTTATTCCTGTGATGCAAAGCTGAATTTTCAGCATCATTACTCCAGTCTTCAGTGTCACATGATCCTTCAGAAATCATTCCGTTATGCTGATTTGCTGCTCAGGAAACATTTAGTATCAATGTTGAAAACATTCTTGCTTCTTAATATTTTTGTGGAAGCCATGATACATTTTTTTCTGGATTCTTTGATGAATAAAAAGTTCAAAAGAAACATCATTTATTTGAAATAGAAATCTACTTTAAAATTGTCTTTACTTTTCTTTTGATCAAGTTATAAACACATTCATTTCTTACAAATAAATAAATAATAATAATACATTTTAAAAAATGCTTCTATGCATTGGATGCCCTGGAATGCGTTTCACAGACCCCGGTTGAAAATCTTGATTAAAAATAAACATGCAATATAACCAGACCACAGAGATCAGAGTAAGCATATGAAGCAAACCGTAAGGTCACAGAAATGGATCAGTTAGAATAAACTGCATTGTGAGAAAAGACACAACAGTGACCAACAGAGGGAGCAGTCGACACTGTTCTCCAGAGAGTCTGTCTATGGTGACCGTGGTCAGGAGTGTGAATAGTGTCAGGGAAAATTAGACTATTAGATCATGTAGTTTTATTTTGCATTGCTCCATTTCAGATTTGCAAGAATTGCAACACAAAAGTGGTCCGCTATTTTGGGTTTTCAAAAATAAGCTGGTGTTGAAACGCTTTGGTGTTTTATGAAAATTCCTGACATGTGTTTGAATAAACTGAAATTTTGCCACAAATGCAAGTCTGTGCCCATCCTGGCCTCAAAGTGCACAGGGTGTAAACGGCTTAGAGGCAAAACCACAGCGCCGCCAGCAGGCCAGGATTCATTCAAAACAAATTTAGCTGGAACCGAGCAATCGGGATTGGCACCGTGTCCCTTCACATTTGCGCTCATGCTTTCAGTGGTGACTGAGGGCCCCTGGAGGGATCTTCAGCTCATCAGCTCATACACTTGATCTTTTCCTCTCTCCTTTACTCTGTAATGCTGTTTTGTTTTTATTAGCATTTCCTTACACCCTATACTTTTTTTTTTTTTCCTGTTTTGTTTGCTGATACAGTTTTTTCCTCATTTATACATTACCATTAAAAATGGTCGGTAAGATTTTTTACATTTTATTTACTTTTTTTTAATGTTTTGAAATGTCTCTTGCTGTATGCCCACCAAGACTGCATTTACAATCAAAAATACAGAAAAAAACGAATATTGTGAAATATTACTGTGATTTAAAATAGCTGTTTTCAATTTGAATATATTTTCAAATATAATTTATTCCTTGATGCAAAGCTGAATTTTCAGCACCATTACTTCAGTCTTCAGTGTCACATGATCCTTCAGAAATCATTCTATGCTGATTTGCTCCTCAAGAAACATTTCTCAGTATTATCAATGTTGAAAACAGTTGTGCCGCTTCATATTTTTTGTATAAACTATAAACAACAACAACAAAAAAGATCAAACATCAAACTTTCAAATGCTAGTGTATGTTTTTTTTTCATTATTATTATTATTTTTATTATTGCTCATTTTGGGATTGGATATCATTTTAGTAATTTGATATTCTGTGGAATGTATTTGCACATTTAAAGGGATAGTTCACCCAAAAATGAAAATTTGATGTTTATCTACTTACCCCCAGGGCATCCAAGATGTAGGTGACTTTGTTTCTTCAGTAGAACACAAACGAAGATTTTTAACACAAACCGTTGCAGTCTGTCAGTCTTATAATGGAAGTGAATGGGCTCCACGGCTTTGAGAGTAAAAAAAAAACATACACAGACTAAACAAATTAAACCCTGTGGCTCGTGACGATACATTGAGGTCTTAAGATGTGTACGTGCTCTGGCATAGTAGACGCATGAGCGGCAGCAATCTGTCGCGCGTATACGTCACTCATTGGATGTTGTGAACGCGCTCAGGACAGTTGGACATTGAGGTGGATCAGAGGTAAAAAATTATATAAATACTGTTCAGTTTCTTGCACAGACTGATCGTTTCGTGTCTTAAGACACAAGCCTTTCGTGTCTTAAGACTTAGTGCATTTATGTATCGTCACGAGCCGCAGGGTTTAATTTGGTTTTGTCTGTGTATGTTTTTTTGACTCTCAAAGCCATGGAGCCCATTGACTGCCATTTATAGGACTGACAGACTGCAACGGTTTGTGTTAAAAATCTTCGTTTGTGTTCTACTGAAGAAACAAAGTCACCTACATCTTGGATGCCCTGGGGGAAAGCAGATAAACATCAAATTTTCATTTTTGGGTGAACTATCACTTTAAGCCATAGTTGTTAACATATGAATGTATTTGCACTGCATAGGTCAATGGCATGACACATATCTTTTATCTAGATAAATTCTAAATATAGTTAAATATAGTTATTAAATAAATATCAGGTAATTTGACCTTTTTATAAAATAGCAGTGATATTTCATGTTGTAAAGCCTTATTTCTATATATAAAGTGTGGTAGATATAGATTTTCTTTCTCCATCTTTCCTCTGTTCCGTTTTCTTAGTGTTTTAGGCTCAGTGCCTCTGCTCCAGTGGCTGCTGGGATATCATCTTTGAGCATGATTTTCAAGTCCTTTTGTTATTTATAGCCACCGGTGTTTGTTGATGAAGAAAAAAATAATGTAAATGCCTTTAACAGGAGCTTTGAGCGCAGTAAATGTCAACTCATCTGCCAACTGGACCTATAAATGAGCCCCCCAACCACCTAGAACCGGCAGATTTTGATTAGAGCCACAGTAGAGGTTACGCTCTCACCTTCAGCCTGGAACTGTGTGATCTCTCTGAGCCAAAACTGCTGGATAAATGAGCGGTTCTCACAGACTCGGTGCTGAATGATGGAGCTTCTCTCTGAAGCTCTGCTCCCTCTGGACCACTCAGCAGATTTTGGACTGATACCACACATAATCGTGCACCATCTGACCCCTCACACACATTAACACACTGCTGCATGGGAGAAGTTTACATTAAATGTGAGCTATCAAAAATACATATTTAATTATGATTATTTTATCACTTTATAATTCAAAATTATATTGATCAAAGCATATACAAGGTAAAACTTAATATATACATATAAATTCCATGTCTGAAACATCTGCAGCACCATATATTCTACAAAAATGTGAATTTATATGATTAGTTGTGGAAACAAATACATTCAGTAAGACCTTCAGATAGGTTTAACAGCCTGAAAGGCTAAAAATATTTAATTATTTCACACTATCTTGAAGAAAAAAACCTTTATTTGCAAGATGCCACAACACAGTTGTGAGGTACAATGTATCACATACTTGAACATTTATAATTTTCATACACAGTCGCATAAAACTAGATGCTTTTGAAGAAGCACTGTTGGCAGTCTTGACTCATTTGGTGCTTAAAACACTTTTTACAATTTAAAAGTTCTATATGTAAATGCAAGACCAAGTAGTTAAGTATTTTAGTTTTTAAAAAATGTATTTAAGTGGGACATGGGTTTAAATCTTAAAATCATTATTTTTAATAAACTAAAAGCAAGCAAAACATCAACTTTACTTGACAGACAATGCTCATAATGTGCTTTATTTGTATGGAAAATAGCCTTTTGTACATTTTACTCCATGAAAGGAGGGTGGGTAGGTGATAACCGACTTTTCAATTGAAAGAAGCTGATCTAATAGGAGTATGACTTAAAGGCACAATATGTAATTTTTGCCGCTAGAGGGCGCATATTCAAAATAAACAAAGAAACAAAGGCGTAGTTTGATGACGCTGTGACTGAGTGTGGAATCATGGGAGTTGTCGTCTTCATCCCCACAGCCGATGCAATCCGATGGGACTCGGGCAGAAATCATGTTCATGGATGAGCTAATGATTTATTTATTTAGTAGAATGAAGCAGGGTGAGGCTGAAAGCCATCGAAGCGAAACGAGGCACTAGTTAAAATTGCTTATTTCTCTGGATTTAAACATTCTTCGAAACATTTGGGATAATGTAAGTACACAAGTCAGCAAAATATATAACACTGTTCTAGTGGTTTTTGGATATTTTAATAAATCTTACATATTGTGCCTTTTAAGAGTAATTTAATATTAAATCATTTGTAATTATAATTAACATTTATTTTGTTAATAAAGTCTATTAAGAAATAAAAATGGTCACAGTTTAGTTTGGGGATCAATTCACTAACTATTAACTGTGACTTTTGCATCAAACTCCTAATTTGCTGCCTATAAATAGTAAGGTAGTTACGTTTAGGTATGGGGTGGATTAAGGGATCTAAAATATGGTCATGCAGAATAAGGCATTAATATGTGCTTTATAAGTACTAATAAACAGACAATATGCTAGTAATATGCATGCTACTGAGCAACTAGTTTTTAGTGAGAATTGGTCCCTAAACTAAAGTGTTACCATACAAATAATAATAATTAATAAATGTAATTTTAACCATTAATATGGCAGTCCGTCACTAGTGAAAATCTGCTTGTGTGTGTCTGCAGGTGCGTTATTCCTCTCAGTCTTTATTCGAGTACCTGAAGGGCATTCAGCAGGATGCCACAGTGCTTCAGCAGTTTGGAGACACGTTGTTACGCATCTTCAGGAATAACCTTCGCAATGACAGGTACAACTGCAATGCAAAACACAACATAGCCACAAAACAGCTGAATGTGTCATACAAATGCAGGACGGAAGAGGTGGGCCAAGGTATGACCAAGATCTTCTGTCACAGTATGGGTAGTTTTACATCTTGGTAACGGAAAATATGCTTGGAAATCCATAAAAATGCTTTATATATTAAATAACAATGTGGTAATGTCTATTTTTGACTTTTTTTGGAACTTAAACCAAATCATAACATTATATTTTGTATTTATACTTTTATGTTTTGATTCGCCTACAGAGTTTCTGTACCTTTGCTGAAGATGGTGGACCAAATCCTTGCTAATGGCTGCTTTGACCTCTTCGCCAGCGAGGAGAGGTGAGCGTGGGAAAGCCCAGTGTACATTACTGCCTCCCTTGGCTCAGATACACAAACCATCCAGAGCTCGGCAGGAGAGATGATATCATGACAGAAATACACAGAAAGGATTCACACAGGGAACCTTTGGGAGAACTTAAGATGAGCCCCGGCCAAGTCGTGTGTTGAAACGGGGAGACTGAGGGTGGATGTGTGTGTTGGTTTGATGTAATTTCTCTGTTTTCAGTCATCCGTTCTGCGTAGAGCTGCTGGCGATCTGTAAAGAGGAAATCAAGAAATCCAAAGATGTGCAGAAGTTGTTGTCGTGTATAGCTGTGTAAGTTGCATTTCCTGCACTCTGTGGATGTATGGGTCCATAACAAGTTGGGTGTCCACCTTAGAAATAATCACCATTTTTATAATGAGCCCATCAGATGTAAAAATCTGACATTAATCTTAGCATGTAATAAAATATGATATGTATTGTTACTTCTGTAAAGCCATATTAAGGCAAGACACTACAGGCAAAAACTTTGGTTTTCATTTACTGGTCAGTTTTGCTATTTTGATCTATTTGGCCCTTCATTAACGTTTCAGATTAGTGGAAAGTAAACATCCAAAATACTTTTTAAGTGCATTTGATCTATTTGCGTCTGTAGATTTCAATTATAAGGCATAGCTTTAAAGCTTTTTTCTCAGAATGAGTTATTTCTCCTGCACTGAGGCAGACATCTCCACTTCGGTAGCGCTTACATACAACAGACCTTAAATTTGTATTCCTATCTGTATTCTGAAGGTTTTTACAGAGGAATTTGTTCATACCATTTGCCTGATTTCATATATTTTATTCCTAAAAACATTGTCCTGTTTTTCTGATTCGTGCAGTAATAAAAAAATATCCAAAATCTAAAAACTTCAAAAACAAAGGGATTTTGAACCTGGCTTTATCTGGACCTCAGATTTATTTTCTGGAAATGTTTGCAAATTAGTGCAGATTTCCTTAGATAATGCCTCGTTTGCATATTTAACCGTAACAAATCTGTAAATTTGTAATACAAAAAAAAGATTTTAATAATGTAATCAATCAGCTTCAAGTACAGTTATTTCTACTAGTTACTCCACTCCAATTAGTTATTTCTATTAATTATTTTTTACCCTATTCACCTGGGTTGTCTTGCCTTAAATTATTATGGGAGATCCTTCAAGCAGTGTAAAAAGCTTTCTGAATTTTTCCTTTTTAGCTTTTTTTTTTCTGTTTTTTAAAAATAAACAGAAAATAGTACAAACATCGATTAAATGATTGTATTGAACTTAAATATTATGTGAAACTTTAGATAAATTATTTTTATCAGTTCCTCACCACCTCATACATTTATAAAAAATATTTAACTAAGCAAATCATGATTTATTTTCACATTTCTTCATCAATGTTTAATAAAAACTCTTTTTCTGCTATCAAAAACACATTTTCCTTAAGGTTTTCTTTAACCCCGTTTTACCCTAATCTTTGTTTTCAGACATTTTTTGAAAATGTTTCAGACTTTTTCAAGAACTGTTGTCAACTGAAGTTTTGATTTAATCACTCTAAAAATGTGATTTCAAATGTGTCTTCTGGTTTTAGTTTGATCTCTCTTGTGATTGGTCATTATGTCTGAGCTCTCTCTCTGATTGGCTCTTTGACCGTAGGTTCTGTGGAATGGTGCAGTTCAAGGGTGATGTGAGGGAGAAGGTCTTAGTGCAGCTGTTGATGTTGCTCTGTCACCCCTTCCCTGTGGTGAGACCATTAGCAGGCCACTTCAGTCCAGACTTAGTCTAGGCACTCGTGTTGTATCCCAGGTTTAATTCTGACTCCATTGTCTCTCTTGGGTCTGAAGATCAGGAAGACGACTGCCAGCCAGGTATACGAGATGCTCTTGACCTACGATGATGTCATTGACGATGATCAAGTGCTGACTGATGTCATGGCCTCGCTTAGTGACACTAATTGGTGAGTGTTGACATGGGGCTTATTGGGGGATTATGATGAGGACTTCAGCACAGCTACCGTTTTAATGGTCGTTTCTTGTTTCCTGTATTAGGGAAAGTGACATCGCCACAATGCGGACCCACAGGAATCAGCTCTGTGATTGGTTGGGAGTGCCCAGGCCGATTCTGGTAACCAAGGTAACACATTTAGGCGACTAAAGAGGTTTTATGGGAGAAGATTTTGTAATGTGGTGGCTGTTGCATCATACCAAATCTGACATCCAGATGCTGCTTCCAGCGTTACTCATCCACTGGTGGCTGAACAAGGGGTTTTTTGAGCATTAGTGGGTGTTCAGTTCTCCTAAACGGGCACAGAAACCATTAGGTTTTGGTTACGGGAAAATGTGTTAATAATCTGTGATTAATATGGCTTTCTCAGACGATATGAAGACTGGCTATCTGTTTGTTCACATGCTTGAATGCACAATACAGTTCATTGAAACTGTGAAACAGATGAGCTGTCACTCGATGAAATGAAAGTTATTGTGATAGCCTGATATAGAAACATTCACCTAAACCTGAAAAAAAGATGCATAATATGCATAATATAATTTAAAAGTGGTGCCTTTATTTTGGTCTTAGTGCATTTATCTTCTCTTTTTTTTTTTTTTTTTTTTTTT